CCCCCCCCCCCGCCCCGCCCCGCGGCCACACTCCGAGGTGCGCCGGATCACCGCGGTCAGAGGAGATGCTCTCCCCCTCTCCGTGCCACCCCGGCCGGCGCACGAGGGATTTGGTGGCATTGGGCGGGCTGTTTGCCCCGGAACCGGGGAAAGTGCGCGCGCAAAGTGCTGGTGTTGGTGCCCGCCGCCGGACCGGGGGGGGGGGGGGGCTGCTCTTCCATTCCAGCACCCGGCTCCTCCCGTGTCCCGGTCCCCCGCGGCCAGGCCGCCCGAAGCGCATAAGGATGGCGCGGTGGCCGGGCCTGGCTCGGCAGGCCAGCCGGGCCAGGCTCACGTTCCGGACCGGTCCCCCGCCCCCCCCCCCCCCCCCCGCGGACACTGCCGGGCGCTTTCCAGCTGGGGGGACGCACCGGCGCAAGAACCGGCACCGACCCGGGGCCGGGGTGCCGGAGAAGCCGGAAAGGGCCCGCCCAGATTACAGTGAGAGGGCGAGAGGGGGGGGGGGGGGTGCCACTGGGACCAACACCAGTCGGCGGCAAAGTGGGCGCCCCCGGGCTGAGGTGGTTCGTTTGGACGAACCTCGCCCGCCGGCCCCGAAAAGCGACGCAGGCGGCCGATGGGCTTTGGAGGTTCGTCAGAGACGTTGGGTGCACCGCACCCGACCCTCGGCGAGGGGCCGCGGTGAGACGCAGCCGCGGTGAGGCCCAACCGCACGACCCAGCGAGACAACCGGAGCAGGGGGACCCGGGCCGGGCCGGGCCGGGGCCGGGAGCGCCCCGGCGCGCCGAAATGCGATCGGCCAACTCGCGGCTCGGGGGGGGGCGGCGGCCACCGCCCGGCATGTGGTTTTCGTGCGGGAACAGACCGCGTGCGGCACGGCGCCGCGGGCTGAGGTGCTCTCGGCGTGCAGTTGGCGCGCGAGGTCTGGCCACCCTGCCCCTGCTCCGCGCGCGCGCGCGCGCATAACAAGCCCCAGGCAGGCGCCATGAGTAGCAGACGCGCCGGGCCGGAGGGGGGGGGGGGGGGGCCGGGGGGGGGGGGGGACCGACACAGGAAGGCCCTTGCGGGACCGCCACCAAGGCGCCAGGTGGTGGCCCCCGCCCGGGGCGCGCCCCCGATCATCCCTCCGGCCCGGCGCGAGCCCGCCATTGCCCATCCCCGACGGGAGCATGCCTGCACGTAACCAGGCGGGGCCAGCTCGCCGGGGGGGGGGGGGGGGCGCGGCGGCAGAGGGACGAGTGCGCCCCCCTGCACACAGAGGCCGCGGGCCACGGACACAGGCCCGAGAGGCCGGGGAGGGGAGACTACTCCGGGCGATCGCCGGCCAGCCCGCGCGCGCCTGGCCAGAAGAACGACCAGCCTGTGACTTGTCCCACGCCTCCACCGGGGGGAGGGGGGGGGGGGCGTTCTCGGCGCCCTTACCTCGGTCTTGACCGAGAACACCACCGCAACGAGTCGGCAGCCCGGCCCGGGGGGGGGGGGGACCTGTGATCAGGCGCCCCCTCGCCGGAAGCTCCGCCACCGGGCCCGCACGGCGGGGCCGCTTTGCAGGCCCCTCCCCGGTGCCCGGCTGACATTATTTTATTGGCTGGATATATATATATATTCATGCTCCACCGACCAACCCTAGCCCAATGCGGTTGGTACTGTGCGCCCATTCGTGGCGGGAAGCGCGCGCGCGTGGGCACATCCACCCGTTCCGAGCATGCAAGCGCGCGCACATGGCGTGCGTCTCGACCCTTTCCCGGCCCGGGCTGAGGGTCCGGCGCCCGCACCGCCGGCGCGACAGAATGCCGCGCCGCCCGGCCGGCCCGCCGTTCTCCGGCCGGCGAGGACCATTGAAACACCCCCAGCAGGCCCGACCGACTCCGCGTTCGCTGCGCGGGAGGGGCGGGGAATCCGCGAACGGAGCGAACACCGCCAGACCCGGGTTGATTAGTCCCCTCCTCCGAGCGGGTCGTGTCGTGGGTCGACATGCTGCCGCGGTGGCTATCGGCGTGCTCCGGCGTGCGATAGCCCGCGCCCGGGCGCGCAGGAGCCATGGGCGCCAGGGCCGGCCCCCCCCCCCTCCCCCCACCCGCGCCGGATGCTGCTGACACACGACCGGACGCCGGGCCACCCCCCCCGTGTCGTCGCGAACCGGGTGCCTCGGATCCCTATCGCGCAGTTCCCCCCCCCCCCCCCGCGCAGCGGCCCCTGGATCACGCTCGTCTGCGCTCACTCTCCCAGCGCCAGGGCCGGAGGAACATGGCGCGCGGACCCGGCGACCGCCATGATGGCTGGCCACATCTGTCCAACACCCAGACATGCGGCCCCGGCACACACGCCCACGGCACATGGCCGCCAGAGCTCGAGGCCCGGAGGCCTGGCAGCGGCGCTGTCCCCTTTCTTCTTCACCCACTCAAGACGGTAGGCCCATGTGTCGTGAGCCTAAATCGTCGGATTATGACATTATTGAATTCCGTCTTGCCGGCGTCCACGATCCGACCAGGACGTCCGCCGCGGCCCCCGCCCCCCGCCGGGCCTCACCACCAACCCCCCCCCTTGCGAGGGCTCGCCTGCGTCGGTTTGTGCCTCACCCTCGCCCCGCCCGTGTTTTTTCCCTTCTCTCTCTCTCTCTTTTCCGCCGCGCCATGCGCCGGACTTGTCTCGTGGCACTGGTTATGGGACGGGGGCCGGGGGGCATCCGTGAGACGCACCCTCCGGCCCCCCCCCCCTGGGGAAAGACCCACACACATATCTTGGGCGCCCAGTGCGATTGTACTTCCTCGTTTGCCCCCCCCCCCCCCATCGCGCAAGCCGACACTCATGCATACGGCCCGGAAAGGCCATGACCCCCCGCCCCCGCGCAGCGACCGTCGCCTTCCTCGCTGCCGGCGCTCCTCATTCACCCGTCTTTTCGCCACCACCACCGCCTGTCGAGCACGATCAGCTGTCCGGCCGGGCTCCCCCAACGGAGCGGGTCCACCGACCGAGAGGCCGAGGTGCCGCCTGAGCCCCGGCGGCCACCTCCGCCCCGCGCTTGCGGAGGGGAGCTCGGTCAGCAGAGTGACTCAGCGCGCCCCGGTGTGTCTTCTCACAGAGCTGGGCAGAGAGAGCCCGGTGCACAGGGCCAGCGGCCGGGGCCCGTGTGCCCCATTTTCACGGCGGGACCCACAGTGTCGTGCGGCCCGGCCGTCCCGCATGCCACCCCAAGCCCATGGCCTCCGCGTCGCTCGCTAGCACTCCCGGGGCCGCCCTGTATTTTGTGCGGGCCCGCGCCTGATCAAGCGCGCGCGCGCGCGCACTCGACATGCATCTCCCCCGGCGCCGGCTGGGGCCGGTAGCCCGCATTGTGGTCCCCGGAGTCCGCCCCCCTCTTGGAAGCGGTCTCAAGGCGGCCCCTCCCGGTCCTCGGCCAAATGTGCCGCAGGGGGCTGGAACATGAGGGCCGCCACCGGCCGAGGCCACAGGGTTCGTCACGCTCAGCCAGAGATCCCCCTCTTTCGCCCGCATTCGTTGGTGCCCCTCCCTGCCCCTCCCTGCCTCTCTCTCTCTCTCTCTCTCTCTCTCTCTCTCTCTCTCTCGCGCGCGCGCGCGCCCCGGCTCTGCCGATTATTTTCAGGGCCAGAGCCCTGGGGGGGATGACATCCTATGAGGGGGAAGTTGGGCAGATGTGCGACCCCCTCCCCCTCCGGCCCAGACTGTGTGTGAGCGCACCCCATCTCGCGCTGGGCAATGGATGGCCTGCCCCTGGCAGGCGCCAACGTCCCCCGCCCCCTCTCTCGGGCCAGCTGCCACGTCTCCCCCCACCCCATCCCTCCCCGACAGAGCACCAAGGCGCATGCGCCCTGACACCCAGATGCCCTGACACACAAATAGACACACAGACACACACGCGCGCGCGCGCGCACATATACTAACTCCCGTCCCATATTACGTGAGCCTGGTCGCCCCCCCCCCCCCCGGTGTCTCACCCCGCCGCCCCGGGCGTCCGTTTCTTCCGACCGCCCGCCAGCATGCAAAAGGGCGCTGGTGAATCCGCCGCAACCAGGCCGGAGACGCCCCCAGCTAAATACCAGACGGTGGATCAGTTACACTTAATCAAATAACCCCAGAAGAATCACATGGTCGAATAAGGTTATTGTCAAATTTGCGTTCATCCATATGCCGGTGATTCACCCCTTTGCTGGCTGGCCCACCATGTGTTGAGCCCAACAAGCCGGTGCTGGTCCCGAGTGTGGGGGGCGCCCTTGGACTCCCCCACCACACGGGGGAGGGGGGGGGGGGGGCACACAAGAGAGGGAGGGAAGGGACGGACGGGGGGGAACCTGCACAGTGACCCACGCGCGGGCAAGCAGGAGTTGCCCCCCCCCCCCCGTTCCTGCAAGCCGCCCGCCGGCTCCCTTTTTGCGGCTCACCCACGCGAGCATTGGCAACCCGTCCCTGCTTCGCCTTCCTCGGCCCTGTGTGTGTGTGTCTGGATGGTTCTTTCCTGGTCCCCGAGTACTCTGGCGGGGGGGGAGGAGGGCTCAGAACGGCGCTCCAACACCCAGGGCCCGGCATGCCCGGCATGCCCGCCGAGCCCTCTCTCTACCACGCTGGCACACGTGTGCCTCCGGCCGCCCGTACACACATGTGTGCTGGGGTCGCATCTGGACCGGCGAGGCTCCATCATCGTCGTGCTGCTTGGGTGATCGCGGCGGTCAGCCATCACCCCTAAGAACAGGCGCCCTGAACCCCCCCCCCACTTCCCGCCGGCGTTGCCTTTCTGGTCGCCAGGGACGTGTGCCAAGATCCGGAGCGCTTCTCCCCCCCCCCCTCCCCCTGGGGGGCCGGTGGGCCCAAATACCGAATGCTGTTTTTTCCCCCGCCCCTCCCCCCTGCAGGACCTTCTGGTTCAGCTCTCACCGCGCCCGGGGTGTTGTTGCACATGGTCCAATCCCCCCCCCCCGCTCCCCGGCGACCGCTGTCTACATGGGGACCTCCGGCCGGGTGGGCGCCCCCCCCCCTCCCCCCCTCCCTCCGCACCGTATTTTCGCTCTAGCCAGCGCACCGGCCCTGGCACCGTCTGAAGAGTCAGGAGCCACCCAGTCTTCCGGAGTCCCAAAACACCCACCTCCCCGCCCCTGCCTGGAGCCCCACACGATCACCACATTTCTCCCCCCTTGCCCCTCTGCTCCCCCCTTGCCCCTCTGCTCCCCCCTCCCCCCTCCCCTCGCCTCGCTCCATCGCCTTTCTATCCCCGCCCATCTTCGTCTTCACGATGCTGTCCCATTCCGCCCGCATCAGCGCTGCCTCCATGCGAGGCGTCATTGCCGCTCGCGCAGCCACCGGCGCCTCTCGCGCCGGCCCCTCTGCCCTGGTCCGCCTCGTCCTCCTGTGCCCCTTTGCCCCAGATACATGCTCCTCCCTTCGCGATTCCTCCTCCGGAACTGACTCTCCCCCCTCCCTCGTCCATGCGTCCATGCGTCCATGCGTCCATGCGTCCATGCGTCCATGCGTCCATGCGTCCATGCATCTGTCTCTTTCTCCCTCCACGCCCCCTCCTCACACGACAGGTCCCGCACTATGCCGCACGGCTGTTCGCCTCGGCCAGCGGCAACTCCAAGGATGATGGCCGGGACTCGGTGGCGGCTCGAATTGCCGCGGCCCGTGCGGCCCTCGCGGCCGCCGATGGCGGGCCCGCCAACGATACCCAAGACGGGGATGAGGCTGCGGCCGCCGCGGCCGCCCTCAAGGCCAGGATCGAGGCCGAGGCCGCTGTCGCTGCCAAGCGTAGGGCCGCGGCGGTCGCCGCCGCCACCGCCTCCCCCAATCCCAAGGCCGCTGTCGAGGAGATCCCACTCGATATGTCCCCGGAGGAGGTGGCCGCGGCCCGGTTCAAGGCCGCGGCTGAGGCCCGTGCTGCCAAGGCGGCGGCCGAGGCTGAGGCCGCTTCCAAGGCCAGGGCTGCCCGCGCGGCCCTCCGCGCGGCCGATGCCGCCCGGGCGGCTGAGGCCGCCAAGGCCGCCGAGGCCGCCGAGGCTGCCAAGGCCGCTGAGACTGCCAAGGCCGCTGAGACTGCCAAGGCCGCTGAGACTGCCAAGGCTGCTGAGGCCGCCGCCGCCGCCGCCGCCGCCGCTGCCGCCGCCAAGCCCTCCGCGACGCCCACCGGCGCCGGCAAGGTGGCTGACGCCGCCCAAGCCACCGAGTCCACCGCCACTCGCACTCCTCCCCCCCATGAGGAGGAGGAGGAGGACGACGACGAGGACGACCCGTCTCTCGACCAGGCGTCCGCCCCCAAGGAGGGGATGTTCTCGCGCGCACGTGGCGGCCTGAGTGCCCTCAACATCCTGGAGCACACCGACGCCAGCTTCTATGGCGGCTGGTCGACCAAGGAGTATCGCCAGCAGTACCGCGAGGCGCTGATCGCCAAGCACCAGGCCGACATCGACCGCATGGTGGCCGGCTTCACCCCCTCCGAGGAGGAGACCACCTCCGTCACGGTGTCGCGCTTCAGCCTGTCCAACATGGTCAAGGCCTGGTCCAACTTCACCTCTCGCAACAAGCTCTTCAAGGGCGTCGGGTCCTTCTCCGGGGTGAAGGACGACTCGCCGCTCTCCATCTACCGCAAGCGCATCTCCGACTATCTGCACACTCTCGGCGGCGGGAACGAGATGTCCGAGGTCCTTACCCGGCTGCAGGAGCTTGACCCGGAGTTCTCCGAGGAGAAGTGGATGCGCTATGTCCAGACCTACGTCATCCCCGAGGTGATGGAGGCCGCTTCGGAGAACCGCGCCGATGACATTCGCATGTGGTGCTCCGAGGGCACGGCCGGCATTCTCCTCTCCGAGCGCGAGTCCCTGGCCAACCGCAACATCCTGATGGATCGCCAGGTGCACGAGCTCCGGTCGCTGGACATCATCGATGCCGGCTTCGTCGAGGAGAACCCCGTGTTGACCATCTCCTTCCGGACCTTCGAGACCATCCAGCTGCGCGACGCCACCACCGGCGAGGCCATCCAGGACGAGACCAGCGGCATTTTCCAAGTCTTCTACCAGATCTCCCTCCTGCGCCTGGAGACCGTGTCGTACGACCGCGCTCCCACCGGTGGCTGGATCGTCCAGGATCTGCGCATGCAGGGTGCCATGCGGTCGTGGTAAGGGCATGGCGCCATGTCCATAGACATGCGGACATGCGGACATGCGGGCATGTGCATGTGCATGTGCATGTGCATGTGCATGTGCATGTGCATGTTATACGCCCCCCTCCCCTCCCCGTGTGTGATTGCTGGCTCACGCATGTGCATCAGCACCTCCTCCCACCGACGCACCGCGCCGCCCCTCCTCCCTCTTCTCCTCCTATCATGTCCTTGCTTCCCCTCCTCTCCTGCCTCCACATCCCTCCCAAAACCCCTGCGCTTTGTCCCCCGGCCCAATCCATCCTCCCCCCTCCCCTCCCTCCCATACTTCACTCTCGCCTCTTGGTCCCCGTGGGGAAGTGCGTCTCTGCTGTGTGCGCGCACGCCACGCCGCGGCAAAGGCTCCCATGCGCACATGCGTATGATTGTCCCCCCACCCCACCCCACCCCCCCTAGATCGGCGGATACCCTGTCCACACCCACCCACCTCCCCGTTCCCTCCCACACACAGCATCACGCATGGCACACCACCACCCCCTCACGGCCTCCCCACCCCCCACCCGGGAGGACGGATCCAACCGCGCTCCTGCCCCCGTTACCTTCCTTTTTTCCCGGCAGCGCGCGCCCTTCTCTTCCCCACCCCCTCCCCCCTGACAAAAATAGAGTCTTTTCTTCTGCACTTTGCCCTCTGTGTTTACGCTTCCGTGCGTTGCCTTGTCGTCCTGCCGTGATGACACCTGGCCGGAGGACAGGCACCGTGTGCCCTCCCTCCTCTCTCGCCCTCTCCCTCTCTCTCCTCCTCCCCTTCCCCCGCCCATTTCCCAGGGACACGCAGTCGGGCACGTCTTT